TTTTTTATGTTTTTTAAAAAAGTCTCTTCTCACCAAGCCTGCATTTATTTGATCCAAAATACAGCAAAAGCAGTAATATTGTGAAATGTTTTTACTATTTAAAATAACTTTTCTATTTAAATATATATTAAAATGCAATGTATTGCTGTGATCAAAGCTACATTTTCAGCATCATTACTCCAGTATTCAATGTCACATCATCCTTCAGAAATCATTCTAATATGCTGATTTGCTGTTCAAGAAACATTTATTATTATTATTATCACAATTTAAAACAGTTGAGTACATTTTTTCGAGATTCTTTGATGAATAGAAAGATCCAAAGATCAGCATTTATCTGAAATGGAAATGTTACAAAAGATTTCCATTTCAGATAAATGTTCTATTCATCATCTGAAAAAATGCTACTCAGCTGTTTTCAACATAATATAAATAATACAAGTTTTTTTAGCAGCAAATCAGAATATTTGAATGATTTCTGAAGGATCACGTGACTTGAGTAATGATGCTAAAATTCAGCTTTGAAATCACAGAAATAAATTACATTTAAACATATATTCAAATAGAAAAGCAGTTATTTTAAATATAAAAAATATTTCACAATATTACAGCTTTTGCTGTATTTTGGATCAAATAAATGCAGGCTTGGTGAGCAGAAGTATACATACATGCATGCATGCATACATACGTGTGTGTGTGTGTGTGTTTGTAAGGGTATTTTTGTGTACATATTTTATATTTATTGGATACATATAGTGCACATACATGTTCCCATATAAATGTGACTCTATGTGCACACATAGCCTACTCACATTCTCGGAATGAGTTACAGCAGATTTCTAGTTCCCAGCATGCTTTGCTTCTGACTCTTAAAAGAGAGTAAATGTTCAAATTAAATATTATGTGCTTTTGCTCAGTGTTAACATAGGTGGAGATCTGTTTAGTGTTTAATGTTCTATTATTTTGGAATGTAAAAGGTTTCTGGTATGTCTGAGTTACCGTTGTGCTGAAGAGTAGAGCCTGCGATTAGGTTGATGATCGGCCACACTGTAAAAAATGACTGTGAATTTAATGGTAAAAGACTGTAAAAATGTTACAGTAAAAACCTATTAAATGGTTACTGGTCAATTCTCCTACTATATACGGTGAAAAACTGTATTGGACATTACATGTATTGGACATTAATTTTACGGTAGTATACCGTTTTTCTGCTGACAGCCCAAATTGAGCCTTGTTTTAGCCTAGACGTCTGGGCTGTGTTTAGACGGCTAGTAGACGTCTTTTAAACGCAAAATTGCTTGCTGGGAACTCTCGACAGACGAGGGCGTGATTTCATTAAAAACAGACAACAGGCGGCTTCGACCACAGTCCAGTTGTCCTGAATCAGCTAATAGGACGCCGCCTTAAAACGCATGTTTCCCGGCCATCTTCCGTCCTGCGCCCTCATTCACGCTGCGCAAGGCTGGAGCTCACCCCGTGGCGTGCGCACGTCCAGCATCAGATCAACGCTCTGCTAATTCGCTGATGGCCTCCGTGGGCGCACCCACAACGCTCTTCTCCGCAGACACACTCAAAATAAGTATCTTTAAACGAGAACTAGTGAGACTATTACGTGCTTTTAATTACTTTTTTCTTGGGACAACAAAGCGGTCTTGTTTCCTTCTCACGGTCTCGGAAATGAGAAATATGTTATCGTTCATCTGGCGCCTTGACAAAAAGTAGGCTAACAAAAGACTTTACGATTGCAGAATATAGCGCTCGTCTCCCCAACATGTGATTGTGTTAGATGTTGTGTGTGAGAGTGATTCTGGTGTTGACAAGCTGAAATGTAGACTGTCCGAAACACTCCGGAGGCGGGATAGAGGTGCTGATACTGGAACATGTACCGTTACTGACCCATCGCCACCTGCGCACCTGTGCTTTCTTCACCGGATAGCCTTATGCCAAGGACGATGCCAAACAGGTATTGCATGTTTTCTGGTTAGTAAATCAAGTCCATAAACAATTATTCTTAGAGGAGACAGAATACCATTGCATTTAGGCCTAACCTTATAATCAACACGTTTTGAATTTCAGCAGTTTTCTTAACATATATAGACAACAAAATATGACAATGCTTTATTTAAATGCAGCCAAAATGATCATAAATCAAAATGAATCAAGTAGTTCCTGTTCTCTGCATAAGCAACATCCAGATAATTATATCCTACATTGTACATAGGCTACATAAAATTATAAATATACAACTACATAGACCAGATTTCCACCTATATAACATGAAATCTCATAGGCTTTGGCAAAATATGGTGGCTGTTATCATTTTCAAGTGAAACAGTTGAGGAGAGTGCAGTTTCACCAGTATCAGTCAGTATGATTTGAATACATTACTACAAACCAAGCATGTTTTATTTATAAATAAATATTGATTCAAATATCTTTTGCTGTAATGTATTCCAAGGATTCAAGTTGGTGATGTCAGAGAACAACTGAGCATTAATAAAGAAAGAGACTAATGAAGAAGCAGAATAGCTGAAGACTACTTTTAAGTTAACTGGATTAAAACATTCATATTTTTTAGTTTGATGATTTACACAAAGCAAAGAATAGCGAGGTACCAATTACAAAACAAAAATATATGGGAACATATACTGCAACATATAATGCGATGCATTACAAATTACATTTCCATATATGGGAAACTAGTGCTTATATTTTTTTAGTATACTGCAATATGTGCATTGACCATGTATGGCTATGTATTGATACAAATAAAAATATTTAGAAATGAAGACATAAAACTATATATATATATATATATATATATATACATACATGCATGCATGCATACATACGTGTGTGTGTGTGTGTGTTTGTAAGGGTATTTTTGTGTACATATTTTATATTTATTGGATACATATAGTGCACATACATGTTCCCATATAAATGTGACTCTATGTGCACACATAGCCTACTCACATTCTCGGAATGAGTTACAGCAGATTTCTAGTTCCCAGCATGCTTTGCTTCTGACTCTTAAAAGAGAGTAAATGTTCAAATTAAATATTATGTGCTTTTGCTCAGTGTTAACATAGGTGGAGATCTGTTTAGTGTTTAATGTTCTATTATTTTGGAATGTAAAAGGTTTCTGGTATGTCTGAGTTACCGTTGTGCTGAAGAGTAGAGCCTGCGATTAGGTTGATGATCGGCCACACTGTAAAAAATGACTGTGAATTTAATGGTAAAAGACTGTAAAAATGTTACAGTAAAAACCTATTAAATGGTTACTGGTCAATTCTCCTACTATATACGGTGAAAAACTGTATTGGACATTACATGTATTGGACATACATTTTACGGTAGTATACCGTTTTTGGAAGGGAAAAATACCGTATAATTTGTACAAAACAGATTTCAGTACTTCAATAGGTTGGTATATTAACATCATATCAGTTAATGAAATTACGGTATTTAACTGTAAATTTAAGTTAAAACTGTAAAACCTAAAATGTTGCTACTGTATTTTTTACGGTAAAACTCCGGCAACCACAGCTGCTGGTTTTTTACCGTAAATTTTATGGGATTTTTTTTACAGTGCACCATTAAGCTTATATGGTATTTCATTTAAAGCATAATGACTGTGGGCTCTTTAGCATTGTGATAGTTTATTTGCAAAATATTTTTGTACATGCTGGTGTGCTTATAACATTAACACAATATGTTATTATTTTTTAAATACCATTAAATAATTTGTTATATTCATATGTAAGGAATTCTTTTATTTTTTTGCGTGAGGGAATTTATTGATCATAAATATATGGAAATATGATTTTGCTCAGTAAGGCACTATTCAACTTGCTTTTTATGAAACAAATGCAGTTATATCACTAACAAGGTGAACAGATAATGTCTCTCAAAGTGGTCTTAAACATCTTAGACATCAATACTTGGACATCAACACTTATATAAACCTACAACAATGGCGACAATCAGCAAAACATTCAAATAAAATTTTCAACTCTGAACATAACTAAACAAGCTACTCAAAAGTCACAACAAAAGAAGAAAATAAGACAATTCAAATGCATAATTTTTTCATACTGGGAGCCATAGATTAGTTTAGTACTATGCTGGCACCCAATATGCATTTCCGCATGAAGCTTGTTGTTGATTAATTCAGCTCTTAATTAATTAAATTATCTAATTAACTGCAACACTGCTTGAGTGTTACTTTTTGTCTGTGGACGCATATGAACAGTGTTATGAGTAGTGTTAATTTAACAATGAGGATATTAATGTGCATGATATAGAATTATGCAATGGAATGATATTTGATTATACAGTGGGTATAGAAAAGAATCATCCCCCTTTAAAAATAATCAAATTTTGTTGCTTTGCAGTCTGAAATGAAGACAGACAGTTTTATCCAGCTGTATTTATTTATAACATCCAAGTGAAAGATATCACACCAACATGTCAGAAAAAAAATAATAATAAAAAAAAATAAAAAAAACAGAATCCCTGGGTTGGAAAAAGGATCACCCCCTCCTAAAAATGACTTGTAAATCAAGTGTGGCTAATCACCTTCTTGATGGCACACAACGCCATTTGACTTTCAACTGTGATCAGCTGTGGTCATTTTGATTAACTCAGCATGAAAAGAGCTTTCCTGGAGCATGTCAGGCCTTGGTAGTGCAACTGATTCAGTTTCTCTCTCTCTCTCTCTCTCTCTCTCTCTCTCTTTCTCTCTCTCTCTCTCTCTCTCTCTCTTTCTCTCTGGCCAGCTTCCTCCTGGGTCTTTCATCCAGTTTGGAGCGACATCCTGATCCAGGGAGGGTCTGTGATGTACCAAATACCTTCCACTTCTTAATAATAGGCTTCACTGTGCTTCTAGGCATTGATAAAGCCTTTGAATTTTTTTGCATCCATCTCCTGACTTGTGCCTGTCCACAGCTTTATCCCGGAGATCGTTTGACAGTGTCTTGCCACCCATAGTTAATTGTTTGCTTCAGTTTGGTTCGTCTTCATTTCAGGCTGGAAAGCAACAAAATGTGTTTATTTTAAAGGGTGTGATTCTTTTCTATACCCACTGTAAGTACTCTTAGCATTATTTTGGGATGGTCTGGTGCATCTTGATATGTAAAGGCAGTCTCTGTATCATTTAGAGAGTCCTTTGAAAAGGATTTAAGTCCCGTGTTCAAGTCCACTGTTGATTCCGTGTTGATAGTCCACTGTAGACATTCTACTGACTGGTAACTTTGCAACTATGTCATCTACCGGTCATTCAAGTATTTTATTAGACTGCTTAAAGGGATAGTTTATCCAGAAAATGGAAATGTTATGTTAAATTACTCACCCTTAGGCCATCTAAGATGTAGGTGACTTTTTTTCTTCAGTAGAACAGTAAAGAAGATTTTTAGCTGAAACCATGGTCCTTAGTGATTCATAAAATGTAAGTCAGCAGCTTCTAGCACTTGAGAGTCAAAAAAGCATATACAGGCCAGACAAAATTAATACCCATGGCTCATGATGATATTTTGAGGCCTTTTAAAGTGAAATGATCGGTCTGTGCAACAAACGAAACATTATTTACAACATTGTTACTGTCCCTTTAATATCTGCTAACACTTTATTTTAATGGTCCCCCAACAGACATTACTGTCTATAAATAACTTTGGAAGTACATGTCAACTTATTCTGCTAATCCTAAACCCAGCCCTAATTTAACTGTTATCTAATATTCTAATAAGACTCAGTTGACATGTAGTTGCAAAGTTATTTATAGTGAGTAGGGGTGAAACAATTAGTCGACATTAACAACAACATATATTTTTGCTGCTGAATAGTCCGTTGATCTCATACGACCTAATGTAAGAGCTTTCAACCAATCAAAAAATGTAAAACAATTACATTGAACAATTTAAAATAATTACACAGTTAATAATTGTACAAGGTGAATTAAGTTGTAAAGTTAAGTGAGCACATAATAAAAAAAATACATCTTTATTTAGATTTATAAATGAGCACTTTGATATTTGCAATATGTGTCCCAAGGGTGTCTACTGCATTTGCTTCTTTTGCCTCGGATGTATATATACCACTGTATCAAAAATTTGTGGAAATTCATGGGAGATACACTGTGGCTGTAGTGACACAGTGAGCAGTTCAGTGTCTTTTGTGTGCACACTCTTTCT